CCCGTGCAGCTGCATTCTGGACCAGCTGTAGCTTCCGGATACTCTTCAAGGGTAGCCCCATTTAGAGCACATTGCAGTAGTCTATCTGGCAGATAACAAGGGGATGAGTTCAAAGGGCATCCTGATCCAGGTATGCTAGACACAAGCTACTGGGACCCTGCAAAGTATTTGTTCACCTCACCATTTACTTCCTCTAACTGGAGAAAAGGATTTTCAGGGATAACATCCTTCCATCTGTGTTATTATCTGGAAGATTCCCCTAGCTCAGCACACTTGCCCTTGTGACTCCAGGGAAATTGAGACAATTCAACTTGTGCATTGCAACAACACAACATAAACTCCATCCTTTTATCTAATTATGTAGAAGATGGAGCTTGCATTGTGATATCAGCTCTGTGCTTCCCAGTGCACACATACATTCAGTGTTAGGCAAAAGTAGAAACACACACAGGTATACACATTTGTTAGTTACAGAGAAGAAAATACAGATGCCTACTATGCACACTGCAGTAAAGGGGTTGAAAAGAATTCTGGAAGCCATGCTTTGCGTGCTTTTCCTAATTTGCTGAAATAGTTTACCCAATGAAGAATTTTAGACAACTTGAGCATTAACAGATTCTTATGTGTCATTCTTGTTTCTCTTAGTAAAGGATTCGTTTCCTTTTTTATTTTTAACTTTTGGAGAGTAATCTTTCTGCACTGAGAATAGGTATACAATTGTTTTGATCCAAGTACGGCCCTCTTAAACATTAGATCTCCAACTCTAATCGAGTAGTCATGATTGGAAATAACAATGTCATTCACTAATTTCAGCTGATTTGCTTGCTAGTCTCTTTCCTCCCTAAGTTGGCGTTTGCAACAGTCATTTGCACTCTGGTTACCTTTACTTTTGGTGCTCACTAAATACCCTGTGGTACTGTTCTTGAGAACCATTCAGGAACTCCAGAAAACTACAGACAAGTTGCCAGCTGAAGTTGGCACTCAAAGCATGTAACTAATCACCTTATGCTGATTAACAAACCTTAGGCTATTTATTTCTCAATTTAATTTTGGATGTAGATTCAAAATTTAAAGCTTTAAATAGCTTGAGACAATGTTTAAATATAAATTTTATTTCAGTCTTTGATTACTGTAAACTATTTAATATGCAAGTGAGCCAATTATTAAAATAACATGGGCTTCAATACTGTTACCCATAATCAAGGCAAGGCTGAAATCAATGGGAGTGTCATAAGGGCTTCCTTTGTGTTCACTGGATTTGATAAAAGATACAGTGCAACTACTTTTTCCCTCCCCTTCCTCCATTTATTAAGAAAACACATTAAAGCAAGCAGGTTTAGTTAGTTTTGTTTTTCCAGCCAGTCTTTGCAAGAAGAATGTATTATTAAATAATTGTATTTCAATTATCAATCTCCTTTCTTGAAAACACTGCCTGCTTTTTTAAATGGTACTGCAGAAAGAACACTTTTTTCTGTAGTCCAGAACACACCCTAACTGTTCTACGATTGCATGTTTTCAAACTATAATGTTGATCTAACCCGCATGGATACATGGCTAATTCTAATCATCCTTACTACATCCTCCTTTAAGAGATAAGGAAAGGGCTAAAGATATGCTAGCCAGAATCCTTTCTCTCTTAAACTAGTATAGGCTTCCTCCCTCTGCTCTCACTGATAGAATGTTTCAAAACCTAAGGAATCATTTACATTGAATAGAAAAATTTGAATGGCACTTCCTCCTTTTTATCTTTGGCACACTTCACTCCTCCACTTCACTTGTCTTCCACTGTCCCAGGAACCAAACAAAATAATGTAACCCTGCTTGGTCCATTTTAGGTTAACCAATGAGCCACCATTGCTCTTTACTGAAACAGGATAAAACTGTTTAGATCCATCTCAGCTATTACACTTCCACCATTCCAGTTCTTCCTACCAATTCTCTTTCCCAGAGTTCCTCCAGTAATTTAAAACTATACCTCAAATGGCACCCCAACATTTCAATAGCTTCTCCTTCACCTAAGGAGGCATCATGTGACTGGTTTTGCTGGGTTCCAGGACTGGACAGCTCCTAAAGTTAATGTCCTGTATATATTATAGCGCATTAGCTTGATATCTAAAGCACAAAGATCCATGAGTTCAATTCCTGGTGAAGGGTTTTAACCACAGGTAGTCCTCGCTTAATGACTGCCCTGTTTAGAGACTGTTCGAAGTTATGACGGTGCTGAAAAAGTAGCTTTACAACTGGTCCTCACACTTACATTGGTTGTGACATCCCCGTGGTCACGTGATCATGATTCAGGTGCTTCGCAACCAGCAAGCATTTACAACTGTTGCAGTGTTCTGTGTTCATGTGACCGCCATTTGTGCACTTCACAGCTGGCTTCTGAGAAGCAAAGTCAATGGAGAAGCTGGCAGTAAAATCACGCTGCAGTCACGTGATGTCTCACTTAACAACTCTGGGTGATTTGCTTAACAACAGTGGCAAAGGTGAGGTCCTAAGTCTATCATGGTCAATGATGTCTTGCTTAACAGTTGCACTGCTTAGTGATGGAATTGCCAGTCTCAATTGCGGCCATTAAGCAAGGACTACCTCATATGGCTATCCATATCTGAGGAGTCAGTAAGGACAAAATTGATCACTTGGTATCTCCTGGTGGTCAACACAGCTGAAAATATCACACAGGATATACACTGTGTAAAAACAGAGAAATCCCCCCCTCCCAGAGGGGTATGGATGTCATGTAGAACTTCATACATGGGACACAACATAATGTAACATCTGTATTTCTCTGCTGTAAGAGTATAAGGGAAGATGGACTGTATATACCATTCTGATATCTTCCTACAAAAAAATAAACTAGCTTCCAATCTCAGCTTCTCTCATCAGCTAGCTGGCATAAAGTGCTTGCTTGGGTATCTGTGTAGTTATATAAATAGTCAGCAGCAAGTCATGGAAAAACACAGGCTGTCACACAGATTTAACTGGACTACAGAGCCATGGATGTGAGATCTTGCATAGCTCAAAATGTCTATAGGATTACTGTTTTGCTGCAAGAATCGGTGAACAGCCAAAGCCAAAGTTTTCTCAGAACAGTTTGAATCTCCTCCTCAGATGTAAATCCTGCTAACTCATTTGAGATGATTCAGAATTTACAACTTAAAAAAAAAGTAAGAAACTTTTACAAAATGAGATCTTGTGAGGATATCAAGAAATAAAGACAATTTGACATGGCCAGCTGTAGTCCTTACACTGTTCTAACACCCAGCAAAGCTTGTGAGGAAATCTTCCCTCACACATTTTGCTTACAGTTGCTCAGATCCTTGGATTTCAGACAGAATGGATATAGGACTAGCAGAGATAAAGTACCAGCAGAGTTGATACATGCTAAATAGTAAACAGGGCATAAAACAAAGTGAGAATCTGAATTCCACCATGGCCATTATGTGGATATCTATTATATACTCAAGAACATGAAGAACAATTGAACACATTACCTGAAGTACA